CGAAGGTCCAATACTACTGTCAGGATAGAAGGGTTTGGGTATGAGCCTACCACGACCTTGACTAGCATCACCAATCGACATATGTAGTTAGCCCATTCACTGTCCTCCAAGTACCACGCACCCTCCAGTACCTAGTCAAAGACTACATCTCTAACTAGATACCTTACTCAAATTGGTCATTCAACCATGACATGGATCGACCACTTCCATGTCGCCCACACAGTACTAAGAGATTCAACTTTAAAACAACTTTCAACTTATCTCCTTAGTACTATGTATCTCAACATAGGACATGTATCTTCACCATATGTCCCCAACTTTTTAACTTTACAACAATAGGCAACTTTACAACTTTACGACAATAAACAACTTTACAACTATAGGCATCATAACAACTTTACAACAATAGGCATCATAACAACTTTACAACAATAGGCATCTTTACAACAATAAGCAACTTACAACAATACAACAATAGACATCTTATAACAATAGGCAACTTACAACAATACATATTATCAACACACAACATATAAATAATGTAAGTCAACAACTACTCAACTCATCTTCATCAGGCAACTTAGCAACTTAACCACGTTATAAACAACTTCTAAAACACAAGAACAACTACACATAACCATTAATTTAAATCAATAATCTCTTTTCTTTCAAACAATAAAACCCAACTTTTTAACTCAATCCGCACCCAACAACGTAACCATTTTCAAGGAAAACAATGCATGAAGCTTCCCTAACCTGAATATTGGCTCCGAATAGCCAAGAATTCAGGAATAAGAAAAACTTTCCTCCGGGCTCGACTCCCGAACTTCAATCCTTCAAAATCAAGCTTCCTAACAGACCATAGTCTTCTCTCTAAACTTCTCTCCCTTCCTCTCCCTCTTTCTTTCCCTTTCTCTCCCTCCTTAACACCTATTTATAGAGGTTAGGAGTGGCCAGAACGACCTGTTCTGGGCTCCTTCATCATATGTAAAATTCACATGTAGAACGACTCGTTCTAAAATCAGAACGGCCCGTTTTGACACGTCTAGGATGACTCGTTCCCAAACTGGAACGACCCGTTCTAGAGTTGAATTTAACTCACAACAACCACGTTTGAAATGACCCGTTCCAGTATAGGATTTATAGGCCAATTTAGTAGCTTGGAACGGTCTGTTCCAGTTTGAGAACGGTCCGTTCTAGGCTACTAAATCACCCATCACCTTTTAAAATACTTACTAAATATATACTCTCAAATATTAATTTAAAAATATATAAGTTAACTATATTATTTCAAATAAGTTACAATATTAATAAGTTATTAATAGTTACAATATTAATAAGTTGCTTTCACACAATGTTGCTTTCATGTTTTCCCCTTCATTTCATATTTTTGAATGTGAAAACCTTGCTTTGTATTATTTCAAATAAAGTCCCAAATATATACTCTTAGACGAAATTATAACTATTTTTTTACATATCTAAAATTTATAATAAAATAATAATTTTAAATATATAAATTATATTATAATTAAAAATCACAATAAATATTTCTAAAAATATAAATTATATTTTAAATTTATGACAAATAATTCATAATGTTATAAAATGTTATTTTAATTATTGGAAACTTTCTTTAAAAGTTTTTAAAATTTAATTTAAAAATATATAAGTTAACTATGAAAATATTTCTTTTTGATATGTACATTTATTTGGTCATTTTTTCCATTGACCATTCTCAAAAGTCAAAATCACTAACAAATATGTAAGATTTATTACTTAAACTTTCATTTTAAAATTAATTTTTTAATAAAATAAATAACTTTAAGGTCACACCTGGTGTGGAGTTTCATAGGAACAATGTCAAATGGCACCTGGTGTGGCCTATTTAACACCTGACACGATACTAGTTCATGGTGAACATATTAATTGTGCAAAAATCCCACAATACTAATCTAAAACTTTAAATCAATCGGTAAAAATCATGATAAAACTTAATACTACTCTTTTATACCATCAATTATTCAAATCCAGAATCAATTTCACATATTCACGCAATTATCAATTTTCCCTTTGTTCTATAAATTAAGGGTTTCCAACAAGAATTTTAAGCAATCATAGATTCATGACCACAATTTTCAATGTGAAGTTAATCATACATACAACTCAATCATAACATTTCATACACATAAAAAGACTACAAAACTATAATTCCACTACTCAAGTCAAGCTATGAATTTTCTCAAGAATTGCATACACAGACAAATAGGAAACATAACCCTAACCCAATAGGTTAGGTGGCTACCTAAGGAGAAAACCCTTAATCCCCCTTACCTTGATGAGTACTCGTAGACGATGGTCAATCTCTAAGGTGATGTCCTTCTTGATCTTCAAGTTATTCTTCAAAGCGTAAAGAAAAAGAACATGAAAGTTAAGAAACATAAAAAGGAAAATGGATGTTAACCCCTTTAAAAACTTTTCAATCCACATTTAACTAGGGATGACAAGTAAACTCGTACTTGTGGTTAATACTCGAACTCGTTTCAACTTTGACGAAGAATATCTAGTTTGACCAAGTATATGTACAGATACATGCAATACTTGATTTATTAACTTGGCTATGGGGACAGGGATGATTATATGCTTACTCACCCCATACTCATACCCGTTTTAAATTTCTAAAAACAATTTATTTTTTAAAAAAATTATTTGACATTTATGTAATTCTTACTCTATTTTAAATTTATGTCAAATGAAACTTAACTAATATAATTTTATAATTGCTACTCTATGTTAAATTTTTTGTTTTTTTTTGTTTTTTTATTTATATTTTTTTAAAAAATACTTAATTAATTTTGAGGCAGGTACATGATGTGTACAAAGTATACTTGATATCCAATAGGTATGGAGATGGGGATACAAATTTCATATCCATAAGATACAAGAACGAGAACAATTATAAGGTATGAGAATAGAGACAGGGATGTGAATGAGTATAATGAAACCCGTATTCACTCCGTCTCGTTACCATCCCTACATTTAACCCTCCAGTAACACAATTAAACCATGGTTACACTTCTCTTCCCTTAAAATATTAAAACTTATAAATAAATAATATATCAAATAAACATATTTCTCTCAACCCAATTATTTATAAAATAAAATATATAAACAATTATAATGTAAACACATATTTTCCAAAATACATTTAATTACAATATTAATTAAAACACATATTTTCTCCAAATACTTTTTATAACAAAATAACTTCACAAATCTTCTTTATTAATTAAGAACACTCATAATTATTTAAAAGTCTTTAAAATATTTTACAAAACCCATTTAATTAATTAAAATACCCTTTTAATAATTTTTAGAAGACTTGGGGTGTTACATGAAGTCAAACTCGTGCCAAACACATAGTGGTTAGGGACATCTCTACTATAGTCACACTTGATAGGGTATCACCTGTGCCTAGAGTGAAGATGTCTATAACCTTTTTGTCTACTTACACCTAACGTGGATGCTCTCCTGCGTGATGCTAAGGAGTTAAGGACCCCTCTGAAACTAGCTCGCCTAAAGTGATCAAGGTCACACTCGATGTCTCACTCCTTTAAAAATCGACGTCAAATGGTGCTAAGCAAGACACCGCTCACCCGATGCAAGGAAGTCAGAGACCTCTTTGTCGTCTTCATGCATAGCGCTAAGAACTGTACATCCACGCTCGATGCTGTGAAGGCACGCCTAAAGCAATCGCAAATTCTACACCTTGTAGAATCGCGATCTTTACGATTAGGTTTCCTTCCAAACCCATCCACACATATCCACTTGTTTCTTTTACAATTTAATCAACCAAACATTCAATTGGTACTCATACAACATCACAACATCATCAAATCATCCAAATTATCCAATTTAGTACACAACTCCCAAATTCACACACATAATAACCCTAACCTTCAAATATTATAAATCATTCTCATACCAATTCAATCAAAGTTTTAAGTACAAATCATTACTAAAATACAACATAACATCAACAAATTTCATACAAGATCATCCACATAAATTAAATAGGAACCTAAGAGGTTTAAGAATGCCCTTTTACCCTTATCTCTCATAAATGCCCACAAATGTGACAATCTCACTCCCCCATAATTAGAGTGATGATCTCACGATCCTATGTGTTTCTTGTAGCTCTAACTGATATTCCACATTTTTTCCAGTAGTCTCCTCTATGTTTCCATCTACAAGCGCTCTTAGGGTTTCAAGTCATATGATTTGACCCCTTGATTTATTTTTAATAAGTTTACTTGGTTGGACTTAAAGCCCAACCCAAATACTCTCTACTTACAACCCTTTTTTTATTTTATTTAATTAAAATAAAATATTTCCTTATCTTATGACTTAATTAATCTAAATTTATTATTTAAAAAAAAAAGAGATGGTATGTCACCTCTCTTATGGTCTTTTAAATGACAAACACTACCCTTTTTATTTTTAAGTGATCACTAACCTCTCTTGTTTATTTATCTAATAGACACATAAAACCCTTTATATAAGATAATAATATAACTCTTAAATTAATGCAAATGTTAATTATTGAATGAGACTTAATCTCTTACTTAATTTAACTCCTAAATTATATCTTGAATACGTGTGTTATGATTTAAAAAATATACTAACTTTAAGAAATAATGTAAAGAAAGAGTTGAGAAATTATTATTTTTTAAATTAGAAATAATAATTTTTTTTGACAAAAATGAAAATTTAGAAATAAAAGATATATATATATATATAATTGATAAAACATGAATTGATTTTTATTGATATTATTTTAAGAGAAATGAATGATTTTTAAAAATTAAAAGAGGTTAAGTAAGCAAATGTCAATAGAATTTTCGTTATTTTTTTTTTCATATGTGAACTAAGGGTAGAAGTGTAACAAAGTAAGAAGTGTAGGGGCACGACGGTGATTGTAGGCGTGGAACTTGAAAATTTTAAGCTGAGAAGAGAAGTAGCAGCACTGAGAGCACCTTTCCACACACAACGGGGTGGTTTGTTTGGTCGTTGGTTACTCAATACTCATCATTTTCCACTTCTCTTTTCTTCGCATTCACTCTTCACTCCCACACTCGCTTTTCTCCCTCACCCATCGTCCCCGCCGTTCCCTCCGATCGCCGCCGTCGACCTCGCCGCCAAGGAAACCGGGATAACAACTCCAATTCTCAGGTAACCGCTCGATCCTTCACCGATTCGCACGTGACTTGCGCCACCTCCAATTCCTGCGCTTGTATTGTAATTTCTATGCTTGCAACCGTAAGGTTTGGCGCAATGTCGTCGCCGGCATTGTAATCGCCAGTGCGCGGTGGGCACTGGATCCGTTTTGTGCATTTGCTAATACTAGAATTTGATTTCGTTTCGTATCCTTCTGGAAATTTTGCTTTTCTAGGGATTGCATTTGGAAATTTTTTTAAACTGTGCTGCACTTTGTGGTTCTATTAGTTTTCAGATCTATCGACTGGTGTTAGTGATGTTTGTTGAGTCTGCTTTAGAAATTGTCCTAATTCTGTCGCGTGTTATGTTGGTGTATTTTCAGTTATTGCTATTATTTTGAGAGGAGCATAAGGATTCGTTTGGTACTTGATAAGTACCTAAGGCCCTATCAGTACTAAAGAGAAAGTGAGAAAGGAAGATGAAATAAGTTCATATAGAAAATGGCATCGAGGCAAATGGAAGAGATTCAGAAGAAATTGGCAGACCTAAATTACCCTAGAGCAAATGCGCCTGCTCAGTCCCTCTTATTTGCTGGCATGGAGCGCTATGCCCTTCTGGAGTGGCTCTTCTTTCGGTATCTTTTTTTCCTTTGTCTCTTGAAGTCCGTTTCTCTGTTTGGTATTTAAGGAAAATAGAAACTGGAATTGTTATTGTTAGGTCTTAGAATAGAGTATTGTCTTTTTGAGCAACCACCATGATATGAGATGGGTTTACTTACCGTGCTTGCGGTTGGGGGGTTGATGTACAATCTTAAACAAATTTTAGGAAATTGTGCGATGTTTATTTGTATTCATTCAGAGGTGAAAATAGTCGGGTGGTAGAAATATTTTTTTTCTCAGGCTCTATGTCTATTGCATGAAAGTGTTCACTGATTTACCCCCCCATTCCATCATATACCTAGCACCAACCAAGTGAAAAAACCAAAACCTTTCCACATTTCCATACTGCTATTTAGAATTTCCACCCTCTTCGTACCATGCGTAGCCCTAGCAACACCCTCTTTCATACTATCTGACATTGTCATGTTTTACCCTATCTGCACCTCTACTACTTACACTTCTGTGATGTATTCCTGTCCATGTTAAGAAGGAATGATCTTTGGTATTTATGCTTACAACAGGCTATTAGGTGATAAGTCACCCTTTTCTCAGCAAAACTTACAAGGGGATGGCCTTGATCGTGATGAGGAGACTGGTCGAATTCAGTGTAAGTGTTCTCATTTGCTTTGATTTGAAATTACCAATTTGGCTAGTTTGTAACCTGGTATCCAAGCTTTCTTTGAGACTAATAAATTTGTTTTCAATTTTTCATTTGTATGTGATTGTATCGTGTGGTAAAGGTTGTGCTGTTTGGTTTCTTATAGCACACCACTTAAAGTCAATCAACCTTGATGCTGTAATTTTCTAGTTCTATTCAGTCTATATCCTGCCAAAGACCTGTTTGATATCTTTTTATTTTTATTTTATTTTTTATTTTTTAAGTAGATAGGCTCTTTGTTATTCCACATTTAGTAACATATTGGCAATTTTTTCTTTTATTGTTTTTTAAAGCTCTAGTGAAACATTCAATTTTTTTTCCCTCTCTTGAGGTAGCTGCATTTGAGTGTCAATTTATTTGGAAGTTGCTTTTTGTCAATTTCCCTTTTGTAGAAGAGTTTAAACATATTTGTCTCTCTTGCACTTTTTGATTGAGTCATCTTGTTGTAACTTTGCTTCTCATGATTTAAAATTTGCAGATTTGGCAGAAATTGCCAAGTTTCTAGGTATTACAACAACTGTAGATACAGATGCCATTCAGGTTTGTCATTTTTGATTTATTGCATTACTATTTTACCGCATTTGAGTCCATAAACCAAACCTCTAGCCCCTTTTGGGTCCATTTTGTTTTTCTTCAAAGAATGAATAAAGGAGTATGTACTCCAATTCCTCTCACAGCATGAGGAAGAACATGGATGCACAAGAAGCTTCAGGCGAGCTTTTTGGATACGTATCCAGAAGTATCCTAGAAAAAAAAGATTGGAAACTTTTCGCATATGTATCTGAAAGTATTTGAGGGGTATTGGTGTTTGACAAGGCTATGGTACCAATACTTTTCCTTTTTTGGAGTATTTGGGTTTCATAGATAAGTAGGGGACAACCATCATCCTTTGAGCTAACTTTTGGGGTTGAGTTAGACCCAAGCTCAAATTCTAAGATGCTATTAGAGCCTATAATGGTGATTGTTGTTGAGCTTATCGAGTCACTTGTTATGAGGTTGTTATCTGACTAGCTATGGATGTCTAATTTTGCAAATTTTATGCTCAAAATGTCTAGTCCTCAATATGAAGGGTGTATTGTGGAGATCGTACATTAACTAGTGATATGATTAAAATAGTGTATATAAGTAAAGGACAACTTTCATTCCATGAGCTAGTTTTTGGGGTTAAATTTGGCCTAAACTCAAATTGTCTTGTTCTTACAGTGGATAACCATGCACTCATTGTTCTTTTTTTGGCTGTTCTGATTTCTCTGCTATATTCTTCTGTGTCATTTGAGCATATTTTCTGAATTGTTTTGGGGATGTCCTATTTTTGGGTTATTGTTTTTAGTTCTTTGTTTGACATGCAGTGTCTAATCACAATGAGGTAAGGATTATTAGTATATTTGAGCCTGTCAGTATTGTTGGGAAAAAGTTGATTATGATTACATTTCTTAATAATATGTACTGTTTTTAGCGATACCTGTTAAAAACTGTTTTCAAAGAGCTTTCTAGATCAATAGATGTAGTATCAGTGCAAACATTAATGCTTGTGACTACATCGATGAAGTTATGAGCAGATTTTAGTTGTCTTCATGGACCCTTGTCTTGGTTTATAAAGAGAGATAATTGTTATGTGTTAAGTGCTTAAAGCAGAAAGGGTCACAGGCAATTGAATGAACTGGGAAATACCATTTAGTGTACTAAAGCCCAGGAATTTATTGGTCTGGTTCTGTCTTATATTGTGTCTAGCTAACATGTATCATTAGTATTAATAGCTAACCCATTGAATTTTTTCTCAAAAATATTGTGTCTAGCTAACATATTATTGTGTGTTAATAAAGAAAGGAGGTTATTGATAGGCTTGCTACTAGATTTGATATTTTTCTCTTGGATCAAGTGGTCTATCATCTTTTGATTTTATGGGAAAGAGTGAATATTTAAAGTTTTATGTACTACTAATATGCTTTGCCATGCATTATAGTATTATTCACACAGATTCTGGTTATGATTTACCTCGAAAGCTGGTAAATATTATTCAAATATGTGACAGGGGCATGGAAGCTATGAAGACCGTACTGAAATGCTTCGTCTTATTGTAGATTTAGTGGAGGCAACAATATGTGCAGATAATCCAGAATGGAGGTTGTCCACTGTTTTATAATTTTGCAGTGATAATTTTTTTCTATAATTTTTTGTTTTGCAGAGATGGAATTGACATAGATTTGGTTTGTATTCTGATTTCTGTAGTGTTGACGAGCAGGTAGCCAAGGACATCCAATTGATAGATTCCATTGCAGAAAAACAAGCTCAAATATTTTCTGAAGAATGTAAATTGTTTCCTGCAGATGTTCAGATTCAATCCATATATCCATTGTAAAAGTTTCTTCCTTTTCTTATGAATATTTTACCTTCGCATTCTGTGACTGTTTGAGTAAATATCTTTATTTCATAATGATAGGCTTGCATTTGTATCTTAACTCACCGAAGTATTTAACATTTTATATAGCATTAACATATGTAACACAATAGGGCTATAGGACATCTTTGAACTTGATAGATTCTTGATTAAAGAAACAAACAGAACAAGAAAAGATCACAAAAACCAAAAGAACAAAATTCAGAGTTTATTCCTCTGCCTAGGGAAATCTCCCTTCTCTCAACTGTTTCCAGTTATTACAATGATAATTCCAGACACTCTAAACAACATACAACCCTATTTAAAGCGGCTGAAACCTACCATCAGTACCCAAGTCCCTGCGTTTCCTTCTAGAATACATTTTTAATAATGGGCCTTGGGTCCTTTCTAAAATTGGGCATTGAGCCTCTGAGTCCCTAACAATAACCCCCCCCCCCCCCCCC